ATTGCTCCTAAACCAAATCTACCTTCACGTTTTTATCTATCATTATACTCCATGGTACAATAATTCATAAATATTTACATATTTTTTCTTGTAAAAATATCTTTGCCTACATAGTTAATATAATTCTCATTTTTTGTATATGAAACCCTCATCTCGTCCTTAAATTTCAGATTGCATTCTATCTAACATTTCATTTGGAAGGTTATATTATTTGCTAATGCTCATGGCAATTTTTAGTCTCATAAGACATAGATTCCCTTCTATGTTCATTCAAGTTATGTATTTTTATTTAATTCTAAACTTCATAGACATTGTTTCTAATCCTTATCCTCCAATGCTACCTTTACAACATTTAATACAGTGCTTTGCATACAATAAATACAAAATAAATATTTGTATTCTGGATGAATACAAAACGAATTATTAGGAATATCAGAAGTTTTTCATACTGATTTTATGTGATGCCAAAATGCTCATATATTTGGAAAATCTCAAAGTTTGGTGTCAAGAACCAAACATATGTGCGATTAATATAATTTCTTTATATTTCATCTGAATCTGTTGGCATTGATAAAACAGTTAAACTCCCTCAAAACCATCTTATTCACTTTGGCATAGGTTATGATGTTTTCTTTTTGATTAGATAGAGTCCCATTTAAAAACATGGAATAAAACTCATTTTAAGACACATCCATTCAATATCAAGTACAACAGGAATACTTTTTTTGCAAAGCTAAATAATAAATATAGTTGTGCGTTTACATGTGAACATTCCCTTTCTATCCATTGAAACTTTTAGCCCTGATTTCTACAAAGCCCTATGGACATTTTGTGATATTTCTTTTATTGCAATGCTCAGATGGATTATGCATTAGTTATCAACAATCTGTTTATAAAAGAAGGAACACTCTGAAAATTGCCAGTAGGATCGTCTTCATATCAGTGCATACTAATGTTGTTCAATAAAACTGCTAAGGTCTGTAAAAGTAGATACTTGGTGGTATATTTATTTTTTCTCTTCTAAATAATTTTTATTTACAGGAAATGGTAGAGGGAATAGATAAAGAGAGTTTATATCACTCTGGGTAAATATAAGAAGACAATAAGCACATAAAAAAACAAGAGAATGAACATAAAACATACCCTAATAATACATAAAATATTAAAATATATTGGAAGAGTAAAGAGTTAACAGCTTTCATGTTACACAATATAAAGTTGCTCAGTAAGTAACTCTATTCAAAACTGTATTTTCTTTATGATTACTTAAATTGCTATATTTGCTTTAAAATGCAGTTCTCTTATAACTCTTCTGTGATTAAATGTAAAAGATGTGTTTATAATGCTGACATTACAACAAACATTTATCATGGATTTCTGATCTGAATCTTATTAGTGAGACAAACTTTCCACCAAAGATGTAGTACTTGAAAATTACACTAAAAGAAAAAAAATGTTATTATTTATGTGTGTACTCACGTATATATTTCTATTTCAAACATACATATTTAAAACTTAACTGCTTATTCCTTCCTAAATATAAGTGGTAAGTACTGCACTTTTAAATTTTGGCCTTAGTCCTAGAATTAATCCTTAGAAAATTCTATAGAATTTTATAATTTTGGAATGTGCTACAGTTTGTAATAATTTTACAGTTTGAAAATTGTGAATGCTTAAATGACAAGTTAGATAATCATAGGTTACACATAATACAGAATGGCCAAACTGTGCAACTAGTTTTCATTTCTGGGTGTCACTTTGAAGAAAATACATATAGATATATGACAGACATACTTTTCTTTTTTTTGTGCCCTTCCCCAACAGATATTCTTTTAAAAATTTTTTTTATTTTTTAATCATTTTATTAGGGACTCATACAACTCTTATCACAATCCATACATACATCAATTGTGTAAAATGCATTTGTACATTCATTGCCCTCATTATTCTCAAAACATTTCCTCTCCACTTAAGTCCCCGGCATTAGGTCCTCATTTTTCCCCACCCTCCCCGCTTCCCCCTCCCTCATGAGCCCTTGATAATTTATGAATTATTATTTTGTTATATCTTGCCCTGTCTGACGTCTCCCTTCACCCACTTTTCTGTTGTTCATCCCCCAGGGAGGAGGTCACAGATAGTTCCTATGATTTATTTAACGCCTTCACCATCGGAATAAAATGCTACCCTCTCAAAGACTAAAACCTGTTTTGTCTTTTTTGCTGAAAGTCTCCCTTAGTAATCTAAGTATTATTAATAAATTTCTATTTTGTTGTAAGTAGAATTTAATATTGGATATTTTATGATACTTTTTCAGGCACAGGCTTAAATAAGAACTACATTATGAAACTTGACTGTTTTTGTATTCCTGCTGTTCAGATTTTGTGTCTGGTTTCTGGAACTTTATACTAATATTCATATCTCCATTGTTTAAAATATAACCTTGGCTATTAGAAATCGGGAAGGACACCAACACAGAGGAGGCACAAATTGACCAGTGTGACATACTAAAAATAAATCCTTATCCTTATTATCGGCCAGGTTGGCACAATTAACTAACTAAATCCACCCCTTGCCAACCTGGCACCTGTATATAATCACATGTGGGGCTAATTGAAAGGCGGAGGGATAAATGGGTGGTGAGCCTCGCCTTTCTAGTTCTTAGGTCTCTTGCTTTGTGATGGTCACACCAGGGTGCAGCTGTCTTAGCAGTTCCCTGCTTCAGCTTGCAAGATTCACTTCCTACAAGACATCCCCGAGGAGAAGCCACATGGACCTATCCCGATACAGCCCTGGGTGCTGGAGCAGCCATGTGGAGACCCCTGCCAATGCTGAGATGCTTATTCATTCACTGACTCAGCTTTCCTCCTGCAGTCAGCATCATTGCCTCTGTTTTGTGAGGTGGAGGACTTTGTGGACTTATGTTGGGTTAATGGGTTAATGTTGGACTTGTGGGCTTGGGCAGCATTGGGTTGAGATGTTTTCGTGATGCACACTTTCTTTACATAAAACTCTCTTATACATGAGTTGCTTTGGATTTGTTTCTCTTAAGTACCTAGACTAATACACTCCCCCTGGGAGAATTCAGTTCAGAGGACAGCACTGAAGCTGAAGCTCAGGAAGAGGGGAAGGGGGAGTGGTCTAGTCAGAGCGCATGTGAGCCAATGAAAGGAGAAGGGGCAGAAAAGGAAAGAGTTGAGCACATCCTGGCTCTCTGAGCCCTGGGGACAATGTGCCTGTTCGGAACAGCAATGCACGGAGATGACCACAGGGCCCGCCCCACCACTGGACACAGCATTCCTCATTGACCCATCGCAGCACTGGGGACAGCACTGGAGAGAAAAGGCGGGAATTGTGCCCACCATGAACTCACCACTCGGAATGCCAGCTCCTGGGGGCATGCATCAGAGCAGCGGAGGGAGCAGAGCAGTGAGGTCCTCAGGGATAGAGGCGATGCCAGGACATGGCACCCAATCAGCCTTGACTGGAAAGCACACATGAAAGAAAACAAACAGACTCTGAACTATTCATATTGTTATATATGTATGCATATGTGTGTATTGTTGTTGTTGTAGATATTGTTTTACTTTCTGTTGTTGCCTTGTTGCCCTCAGTCTGGTGATGGTACATATGTCTACCTGGAAGGGATAGGTGGAATAAACAAGCCAGAAGAGAGAACAACAGGATGACAGATCAGGGGAGCATGGGGGTAAGGGAGGGGGGGAGGAAGGAAGAGGGTGTTAACAGGCACAGGGACAAGGGAACAACAAGTGATCCAAAATCAATGTCAAGGAGGGTGCGGGGAGGCCTTGCAGGGCTGGAGCAAGGGCAATGAAATGGAGAGGAATTCCTAAAACCCAAATGAAGTCAGAACATGATAGTGGGACAAGAGGAAAGTACAAAGAAACAGAAGAAAGAGCTAGGAGGCAAAGGATAGTCATAGAGATGTAAATACAGGCATATAAAGATGTAAATCTATTTATATATGATGAGGGTGAAATAGATCAATGTACACATATTTATAGGTCGAGTATTAAGAAAACAGATGGACAATGGGCCCCTACATAAGTACTCCCCCAACACAAGAACGCTTTGTTCTAACAATTTGGCAGTCTGAGATGCTCACCTACCTGACATGATCGCTGAAGACAATGGGTGCACAAGAAAATCTGGTGAAGAAAGTGGATGATGCTTGGCTATCAAAAGATATAACACCTGAAGTCACTGAAGACAATGGGTGCACAAGCAAGTGTGGTGAAGAAAGCTGATGGTGCTCAGCTACCAAAAGATAAAGCACCTGAAGCCTTAAAGACCTGAAGATAAACAAACAGCCATCTAGCTGAGAGACAACAAAACCCACACAGAAGAGGCACACCAGCCTACCCCTACTCGATCGCTGGGGACATAGGGGGTGCATTAGCAAAAGTGGGGAAGAAAGCCGATGGTGCCCGGATATCAAATGATACAGCATCTGGAGTCTTACAGGCTTAAAGACAAACAGACAGCCATCTAGCTAAGAAATAACAAAACCCACAAGGAAGAAGCACACCAGCTTATGCCAACATGAATGCTGAAGACAAAGCGGGTACATAAGCAAATGTGGTGAAGAAAGCTGATGGTGCCAAGCTGTCAAATTGCACAGAATCTGGGGTCCGTCATGCTGGAAGATAAACAAGGGGCCATCTAACTGAGAAACAACAAAGCCCACATGGAAGAAGCACACCAGCCTGTAAGATGACAAGGTGGTGAAAGGGTCAGATATCAGGCATCAAAGACAAAAAAAAACAAAAAATCATGACATTGTGAATGAGGGTGAGTGCAGAGTGGGGACCCAGGGCCCATCTGGGGGAAATTGCACATCCGTTTGCAGAAGGGCTGCGGGGAGGTGAGGAGCAAATTGGAGTGCAGTGTAGTAAAGATGAAATATGCAATTTTCGGTTGTGCAGTAGTGCTCGCTGCTTCTCTCTTCCGCTCTTGCGCCGGTAGCCGATCCGCGTGTGGAGTCGCCCACGAAGCACCGGTTGGCGGGTTCACAGAGTCTTGGAACGACCATCACGTCGCTACATTGAATTAGCTGTTTGATTAAAAACAGCCGAAGGAGATTAAGGGCAATGGCAAAACAAATTCATCATTGCGGGAAAATGGTTGAAGCCGATCGGCCTGGGAAGCTCTTCATTGGTGGTCTTAATACAGAAACAAATGAGAAGGCCCTTGAAGCAGTGTTTGGCAAATATGGACGAATCATAGAAGTACTACTGATGAAAGACCGGGAAACAAACAAATCCAGAGGGTTTGCTTTTGTCACCTTTGAGAGCCCAGCAGATGCTAAAGATGCAGCCCGAGATATGAATGCAAAGTCTTTGGATGGGAAAGCAATTAAAGTTGAACAAGCATCTAAACCAACATTTGAAAGTGGAAGACGTGGACCACCGCCACCTCCAAGAAGCACAGGCCCCCCGAGAGGTCTTCGAGGTGGAAGAGGAGGCAGTGGAGGAACCAGGGGACCCCCTTCACGTGGGGGGCATATGGATGATAGTGGTTATTCCATGAATTTCAATATGAGTTCTTCCAGGGGACCACTTCCAGTGAAAAGAGGTCCACCACCACGAAGTGGAGGGCCACTTCCTAAGAGGTCAGCTCCTTCGGGACCAGTGCGCAGCAGCAGTGGAATGGGAGGAAGAGCACCTGTGTCCCGTGGAAGAGATAGTTATGGAGGCCCACCACGAAGGGAACCCCTGCCCTCCCGTAGAGATGTTTATTTGTCCCCAAGATATGATGAATATTCTACTAAATACAGTTATTCCAGCAGAGATTACCCCAGTTCTCGTGATGCATGAGATTATGCACCACCACCAAGAGATTATACCTATCGTGATTATGGTCATTCCAGTTCACGTGATGAGTATCCCTCCAGAGGCTATAGTGATAGAGATAGCTATGGTCGTGATCGTGACTATGCAGACCATCCAAGTGGAGGTTCCTACAGCTATGGTAACTCACGCAGTGCTCCACCTACACGAGGGTCCCCGCCATCTTATGGTGGAAGCAGTCGCTATGATGATTACAGCAGCTCACGGGACGGATATGGTGGAAGTCGAGACAGTTACTCAAGCAGCCGAAGTGATCTCTACTCAAGTGGTCGTGATCGGGTTGGCAGACAAGAAAGAGGGCTTCCCCCTTCTATGGAGAGGGGGTATCCTCCTCCACGTGATTCCTACAGCAGTTCAAGCCGTGGAGCACCAAGAGGTGGTGGCCGTGGAGGAAGCCGATCTGATAGAGGGGGAGGCAGAAGCAGATATTAAAACCAAACAAAACTTTGGACCAAAATACCTGTTCAAAGAAACAAAAAAATGGAAACTATTCTGTCATAACTGCCCAAGAACTATTAAGGAAAAATTGTGTTACTTTAAAAACCTGTTTTAAGTTCTCCCATAATTTTTATCTTCTTTTGAGGAAAAAGTAAAACCTGTTTAATTTTATTTGATTTTTATGACATTGCTTTCAACAAGCAAATGTTAAATGTGTAAGACTTGACTTGTGTACTAGTGTTTGTGATTCTCTTTAAATTTTCCTGAAGGCCACTTCCTGTTTGATTCTTCCCAGTAAGTGAGGCAAGCAATACTTCCACAAACATCTAGCCATCTAAAATGGAGAGATGACTCATTCTACTTATATAAACGGGCTAGATTTTAGAAGGGTTGGCTGGGTTTTCTGCTACTCTTAAGATTTCAGAGTGTCTTCAAACTGAAATCCCAAAGTGTTCTCAGGGTGAAGAACCTGAGATCAGATGCTTACTTAGGAAAGTGCTGTTCACTCAGTAAACCCGAAACAAAGGATAATGCTGGCCAATATATTGCCTTTCTGACATTTCCTTGGGAATCTGCAAGAGCCTCCTCTTTCCCCCTCCCCCATTAAGACCATTTAAAGTGTGTATTAAACAACTACAGAATACTAAATAAAAAAGTTTGGCCAAAACAAACAAACAAAAAAAAAGAAATATGCAATTTTCCTCTGATTCTTAAATGCTTCCTCCATCCCACTACCATGATTCCAATTCTAACTTACATATCCAGCTGGACTGGAGGAGGTTCACTGGCACAGATAGGAACTGGAAATACAGTGAACCCAGGACAGATGAAACCCCCAGAACCAGTGGAGAGAGTGGCGATGGCGGGAGGGTGGAAGGAAGGAGAGCGAGAAGGGGGAGCAGAGGACAAGGTCTACATGTGGCCTCCTCCCTAGGGGAAGGACAGCGGAGAAGTGGGTGAGGGAGACGT